CGGAGATGTGTATAAGAGACACCTCTCTCTCTCTCTCTCTCTCTCTCTCTCTCTCTCTCTCTCTCTCTTTTAATTGTTTCTTCATTACTTCGCTCGTCGGTATTGAACTAGTTCAATTTCTTATGTTTTCCACTGTTTTATGGCTGTGATAAAAGCTGGGAGGAGCAAAAATAAAAATTATGGAATTTAGAAAGTTTTCTTTGTTATCTTATCCCGTCTCGAGCACATTTTTCTCTTTCAAAGCAACATTTTTGTCTTCCCCTCTACTTGGAAGCGGATCGATTATATGCAAATACCTATTTTGGTTACATGACTCATTACATTATGTTTTCGTTTCTCCTCCATGTTCTATTTTGATTGAAGCTGATGAATATTGGAAAATTAAATTTTATTAACGCATTTGAAGGTAATGAGGGCTAGCATCGTACTGCTCAGTCTTCTTTCTCTCTGCTATGCATCGAATGTTTACTGGTAAGATAACAATTTCTATTCTCATAAATAAGTATATCTTTCAAAGGTATGATGCTCCAAACACTTTACCTAATCGCCAACTGATGGTCCACCTGTTTGAATGGAAATGGACTGATATAGCTAAAGAGTGTGAAAACTTCCTCCAATACTATGGATATGGAGCAGTCCAAGTTTCTCCCCCAATGGAACATATTACTATTGTACAAAACAACAACATGCCTTGGTGGATCAGGTCGGGATTGGGACGTTTTCAGAAAACTCGATTCGTTCCAGGTATCAGCCAGTGAGCTACCAACTCAGTTCAAGAAGTGGAAGTGAATCTGAGTTCAAAGATATGGTTAACCGTTGCAATAATGTTGGCGTCAGGTTTCGAACAGAAAACTATACTGGAATCTTATTTTTATTATAGAATAATTGTAGATGTAGTTATGAATCATATGGTTGGAGTTGGACAGAAGAAAGGAGTTGATGGAACCCAATCATCAGGCACAAGCACTTTCGATGGTACTGATGGAGTTGAACAATTCCCCGGGGTGACAGAAGAAATATGGAAAGATAAAATCTCAAAATTTGCAGGTTCCGTATAATTCTAATAACTTCAATGATTTCCGCTGCCATGGTAACATTCAGGATTCAGATTTCCAGAATTCAGCCGAGCATGTAAGATAATGTGCATACGGTAAATACTCCTATGTTCTCTATCTAGGTAAGAAACTGTCGCTTGGTAGGGCTTCTAGATTTGAACCAGGGCGATTCTGTAGTGAGAAACAAGCTAATCGGGTTTTTGGATTCATTGATTGATATCGGTGTAGCTGGATTCCGGTAAGCCACTGTTTTTGAGTGAAAATTGAACTTTTTCTAAAAAGTTGTGATGCATCTAAACATATGTGGCCTGGCGATCTTGAAGCTATCTTGAACGGTACAAAGAATCTTCGAACGGATGTGAATCTTGTTTTGTTTTCAACTTTATTCTGCCCTCTCTAGATTTTCGGACAAAATGTCAGGCCTTTCGTTGTTCATGAAGTTATTGACCGTGGAGGAGAAGCTGTCAAATGTGCCGATTACGTGACAATAGGAAGGTAGAAAATGTCTTATACATATACTGCATTTGAGATTGAATTCAATTCAGATACACAAACTTCAACTTCGGTTCAGCTGTGTCTAGTTATGCTAGAGGACAAGGAGATTGGAGGTACTACAAAATTTGTGAAATCTCTAAAGATTCTTAAGAAACGCAGTGAAACTGGGTCCTGGGTCAGCATATGGAAACGGGGAAGATCATGATGTATTGACGTTCATTGATAATCATGATAATCAGAGAGATTCCAATCCTTATGTGGTAATGATAATACTTGAAAAATTCTGAAAAATAACTTTCTTCATAGGTTACTTATAAAGATAAAGAGAGATATAAGTTAGCAGTTGCTTTCATGTTGGCATGGCCATACGGGTATCCTCGTGTAATGAGCAGTTATTACTTTTCATATTCTGATCAGAGCCCTCCAAACTCCGGATCTGGAGCAAACTATGCCGTAAATTCTGCTATTTTCATATAAATCTAGAATCTCAAAAATTACAGACTACTTCTCCAGCTTTCAATGACGATTTGACTTGCAAAGAAAGTTCAGGTTGGGTTTGCGAACATCGTTGGCCATCTATTAGGTTGACAATAAGACGCGTTCGAAAAACATTAACGTGCATGCTTTAGACAAATGGCTCAATTCCATTCTTCGGTTAGTGGAACGGCTGCTTCAGATGTAAAGTAAACAGTATAGCCTGAGGCTTATCTTATATTCCAGATTTTTTCTGATTACAATAGAATAGGATTTGCTAGGACTGGCAAGGGATTCTTCGCGCTGAATGGATTATCTAATTCGTGGACTAAGTATCTTTCCATTTCTGATCTCTTGGATATATTCAGTATGCTTTAGAAATTTCCAAACAACCCTTCCGGCTGGAGATTATTGTGACCAATACAGTGGCAGCTTGAAAGATGGAAAATGCACAGGAGCCAGAATTACAGTTCGTTCAGAAGGTACATCAACACGTTTTGATATTTTATTATGAAAATTCTTTGTACAGGACAGGCTGGTATTACAATTCCCGGACTTAGTGTAATCGCCATTAGCTTGAGTTCACGTATTGGACCAGTTCCAACGCCTTCTCCAAATTCTGCAAACATGCAGAAGACGGTCATCTTTTTACATGCAAGTACGGAAGAAGGCGACAATTTGTTCATAAGAGGAGGAAAAAGTGAAATGAATCATAATGGTTGGTGAAACTATAAAAATAAAGCTATTAAATGAATTAATTTCAGATTGCTTGAAAGGTCCTTATCAGCAAGAAAGTGACCCATGTGCTATTCCAATCCAGCATAATACGACCGTTCCATTTGTTTATGGCGAATATTTGAGTTGGAAGCAATTGGATCAGTATTTAGATTTTGAAGGAGACGAACAAAACCAAGGCAACTCATAAACTGTTTCAAACTCATTGATCTATACTCCCTACTACAGGTACTCATGATGGACAGAAAGCCTTTGGTACACCTATGGCATATTCTACAAACGATAAATCTGCTGTTGAGTATCAACCTCTGAATAAATATGGAGCAAATTATTGGATGGTACAGCTACTGATGGATTGTTCAAAGACTGAAAACGGATGGTTTGAACTAAAAGTACGTCCCAGATATATTCATTTCACAGAAGTAAGCCGTAATAATCTTTCAGGGCTATTTAACACCAAACATAGGATGGGAAGCGAATATTTCGCAAACCAGTTGTAAAGGATCTGTAGGTGGAACAGCTCCATTCAAATCAATCAACCATATTGCTATGTGTGGCAAAGTGAACGTTTTCAATTGGAACTCACCTGATTGTCAAATTAATAACTTTTAAAACTTTACACTCGCATTGTCTGATTGTCCACAGTATCAACCGTTCAATTTGTATCATACGCAGTAAATGAAAAGCTAACCATCCGTTTGTTCACTTTACGTTTACGTGAAGCTTACGTGAGTTTCACGTACAAAGCAGAATGAAAAGAAATGTTCTAAAGAGAAGTGGTGTACTTGATTCACTATGTTATTCGCTTTGCTTCTTCTTTTCGTCTGAATATGGCACTATTTGCTTCTATGACTCCATGCTAATCTAGACTCTTATCTAGAATAGGTGAGAACTTGAAGGTTTCACAATCTCACGTTAGCGATTCCTTTGTTTATCGAAAAAAAAATGGTAAAGGAAACGCTGGAATCCGTTCTGGTTTTCCTCACAAGCTCTTGAAGAACTTATCACGATCGTTTGATCAACTAGTTCCACTGAATCTCTTACAAGCCGAAGAGAAAGGTTTAAAGTATTATTCATAGAAAGTTTCTGCATGGAATTGCGAAATCAGTGAAAAGCCAACAGAAGACTTTCCTCTACTATGTTGAAAGCGTGAAAGTGAAACGCATAGGGTGAGGTAATATAGCGACAGCAGCATATATATATATATATAAAAATCAATATATTTCTTCATTCGATTCTTAAATTGATTCTTTTTTCTACTAAAGTTAAAGCATATAAATAAGATGATAGGATGAATGAAGACGACACTGAGGATCGAGAACTCAGCTGTTCCGAAATGGTTGGAAGGGAACTTCAACTAAGCAAACATCGTACAATACACATAGTTTTCTAAGCTTTCTTCAATTTTTCTATTTCCGGATTACTTGATTATTTGCTTATATGTCTCTTCCATTTAGTTGACATAAAGGAAGATAAAAAGAAAGTTGTTTATATCTTATAGCTGCTGTCCATCATCCTGTGTTGAGCATGTTTACCTCTTCGTTCTTTGTTCATTACAATATTAGATAACATGATTAACAATATTTGATTCTTTTTCATTTGTCGTTCTTATTCGCTTTTCTCACCTTTTCCTCTTTTCTCTCATTTTTTCTGTTCATATCAGCGCTGTCATCATCTTCATCACAACAATGTGCTCGTCATCTTGTTCCAGATGATCCAAGAACAAGTACTTGGGTGTGGTCAATCAATAAAATAACCAAAAAACGAAAATGTTCATGCGAAATAAAATTCTCATCGTGACACAATTCAGATGACATCCGCGACACAATCGTCGTCTGTCCTAAACTTAGCGTCTTAACGCCATTTTCTTGTCTTTTCAGTATATTTGAGGTAAAGAACACACACCCTCACACTTACTAACAGCTGAGAATCAGAAGACAAACATTGAAGTAGCGAAGTCAGCAACTAACTGATTTTTTTCGAACCATTGCTCCTCTACCGGTTTTCCCCTCTCACCTCCTCCTCTAACCTAGACAGAACGTGAATGTATTCAGTAGGAAACCCTTTTTCACTTATGATTTTCGTTATTCTCACAGCGAACGATGACTTTTGTCACCTTTTCTGTCTGATGCAATGCAGAAGAGAAGCGTTTAGAATTCAAATCGTGAACATTCTATGGGTTACTCTCATCTGTAACCTCATAAAAGATCATCACTAGTTTTATCATTCGCAAACATCTGTCTCGTTTCAAATAACCATCATCATCGTCATCATTAACGTCGTCGCTTTCGTCGTCCTCTTCGTCGTCATATCACTTCACGTCTCATTCCATTTTGTACTCCACCCCTTTTACGTCGTTTCTAAACAGATTAGAAAAGAACAGACCCATTCAAACAAATTTTTACGATATTTTCTTCTTTTTTTTTTTTTTCAATTTCCTCTATGCTTACAACTGTTTGTTGGGGAGCTTCTCGCCTTTATTGAAATATAATTTCATTCTGTCAAACCTTTTTTTCAACATTTTTTTTCACCAAAATCAATATGAAAAGCTTAAAATATATTTGCGAGTCTGTTCAATATATATCTTGCAATCTTGCTATATCTCTCATCTCGTCATCATATCCCTTTAATGGAGATGATCACATTTTGAAAATTCTTCAAATTATTTACATAAACTTACCACCCTTTGTCACTCATTGTCTTCAACATTAATGCCTGCGTGCAACCGTTCTCTGCGTGCGCATCACGTCCGAATGACCTTCACGTCACGTGACTACCATTATGCTAATTTTTTGATTCAATTCTAAATCGTTTCTTTTTTCTCCAACCACACAGAAATTTCACGAATTTTCGAGAATCGCGCGAACAATAAAAAAAAGTGAATAATTACAGTTTTTGGGAAATGTTAAAATGATAAATGTATGGGAGTTATCAAATCATCAGAGCTCTCAAGCACATAATTCTCATCATGGTATCCTCACTTCATTTCTTTCATCTCTGCTTCTCTACCATCTCCTAATCTATTCAATTGATTATTTAAATTATTAAAAGCTTCTGATTTCCTGGGACTGATCGAGAAAACTGTCCGGTTTTTTTTCCTTCCTTCTTGTTCTGATTTCTTTCGCTTTGATGACAATGGTTTTCCTCTGATATGCAATCATTTGAATTATTTCTTCTTTTTTTTGTTTCTTTTGAGAAGAATAAAAATTATTTTTATCAGTTCTTTCATTCTCTTTCTCTTTCTCTCTCATTTTTTTTCTTTTCTTTATTTCAATTCTTGCGTCTTGTCTGATTTCATATCCCCCCAGTGGGTTTTCCTTTCTTTCTCTAAAATTTTCAATCAAGAGACGATCGTCTGGTAGCAGCGACAACTCCCGATTAGACACCTTAGTTGAAATAAATAAAGAGAGTTCAATCAAAATTTCAAACTTCGATGTGCTGATGATCTCCGATTCTCTCTAATTTCATCTCGGGGCTTTGACCGTTCACTTGTGACTGTTAAAATCCGTTTTATATGCTTTCTCTCAATCATTTTCGCTTCCTCCTCATGCTTCTCACTCTCTCCCTCTCTCCCTATTATTCCCACTGTTCTCTCTACTCAAAGTTCTTTTTTTTTCTTTTGAAAACATTTTGCTTTTTTACAACTGTCTTCTGAATGCCTTCATCTCGCCCAAAATCTATTTTTCCAAAACCATTCAATACCTCTGTTGAAATACCATTTCAATGTGCTTTTGTCAATGAATTTGATCGTTCTGTGTACTAGCATAGCTTCTCTTCTGAGCTAAAGCAAAATGCTTTCTTCATATTCTTTCATAACCAACATTCTTATTTCGCTTACAGAGTACTATGGCAGGTTATTTAGGTAGCCTTAAAAGAAATGGTCAATTGCCCACCACCAGGTAAGGAACCTTAACGCTTCTTTCAAAAAGCTTCCAACTAATTTTCAATGAACAAGCTCTATATCTTTATAGCCCGTTTCCAAGAGATCGCTTTTTAATAGATGATGAACTAGATGAGCGACATGATATTCCTCAACCCAGGTAGGTAGCTCATGCTTCGTTAAATAATTACTGATTAAAGCTTTATCTTTTTGAAATTGTGCTTCTGCTTATTCACTAGCATGGCATGTTCTGTTCCACATTCTTACCATTCTTCAGAAGTAATCGCAGATGTAATTGAAAATTGTTGAATAGTTCACTTTACTCCTTTCTTTCAACCTCTCTTCTTCTCCTCCTCTCCCTTTCTTTTTAACTTTTTCTTCCACTTTTCCTGTTTTTTTCTCTCCAAACGCTGATGTGATTGTGTTACTTCAAAACTTTGAAAACTTTATTTGATTGTTTAAAAAGAATGCTGCAGAACACAACTTATCAAACGTTCTTATTGATCCTCTGGTCTCCCGAGAAAATATTCTTATCACCAGCGCATCTAATCAATATCATATTCTTAATAAGAGAATTTCATTCATTACACAGTGACACTCCTAGTTCTGGCTCTTACTTCAGAAATTTTTGATTTTAGCTATCAACATTACTTTTCACTTCATTTAATTCTTCTATTCTATTGTATTATTTGTATATTAAGATTCACCAGAATGGCTTCAAGTAACAGCCGAAACGTTCCTGTAACGATTGTTCGCAATAAGAGCATTGATGATATGAATGATCAAGTTGTTAATATGCTTGATGATGTCGAGAAAAGAGTCGAACAGCTAAGGTAATTCTATTTTCTTAAATTTACAGCTTCCGTTTGTGATGTCATTGATAACGCTTGTTTAGAGAAGCTGCGGCAACGTTAGAACAAGAGAAAGAGCAAATTCTAGAAGTCCTTAATGATGTCGTCATCAACACAGGTCTTCTTCGATTAGGACAAGGTATTTGATTATAACTTCAATTATTCGAGCATTGTGCTTTCAGGAGATCGTGATGACATAACAGCTATTACCAATCGCTTGGCTTCTCGGACTAAAACCGTTGAAGTTGTCGTTAATACACCAAGAACGGCTGAGCAGCAACAAGCTCTGACCTCCGTGAATACTATGATTGATACAGTCATGAAAAAAATAGAAGACGACATCAAGAACGGAAAAGAGGTAATACTGTTTTTGAAGATGATTCATTCAAAGTTATCTTGAAATTTAAGACTGCCCGCCGATACCTGAACGCATGCTCTCCAGACCAACCTGAAGGGCCTATCGACCAACGGTTCCAATCAAAAGTTATAGAGTGTACTGCAGATGATCAGAAAAAGGTTCGGAGAAAATTGACACAGCTCATAAACCAACTTGAGCGAACTGAAAGAACTTGTATAGTTCATCACTTTTAACTTTTTGCTTAAATCATGCATCTTTCATCGTCCGTTCTCATTCCATTGGATATGAATATCTCTGAAATTAGAATTTTCTGTTATCTTCTTATCATTTTTATCACTTTTTCTGCAAAATGAGCATATCTGTCATACAAGCTCATCTATTTACAACTTAAAAACAAACAATTTCCGTTTTTTCTTTTCATGAAACTGTCAGGTCGTGTTTATGCTAACCTCCATTTATATTTAATTTCAATTAAAACAATCAAAAATAGAAAGTTTATTCAAATTCTTTTTGTTTGCAAATAAAACTTGTAGAAACTTGTTCTTATTAAATGTTATCCAAAATAGAATACAAAAGATTTCATTGAATGAATCAAATTATAACATCTCGTCAACACGATGTACACGCACGTTATCCTTCATCGACAGAACTAACTGAAATATTTTTATTGTTCAATGGTGAGGATGCAATAAGGTGACTCACCTCATCACCTTCAATGGACAATTCACAGAATACCGCTGCTATCATAGCCATGAAACAAAGAACAAAAAATAGCTTGCTCATATCTGAAATACATAAAATTAATTTTTGAGCGATAAGCGATACTCTACACTGTAGAGCACATGTTGTTGTATGATTCATATACTGATCATTGCTTCACAATCATTGCTCATACTATATAGACATATACATATATGTCCATATCAATTTCATTTTTAATCAAATCTTTAAAAAGTTTCAAAATTAAAGAGAAAAATTGAAATTTCTTGCAGTTTTCACAAATTTATCAAACAGAACAGTAACATGCTGAGGTATGATGGTAGAAGGTAAGAAAAATTGTGGGAAAATACGTTAACACATCCGACCTTGTCGTCGTTATTGCTTCAGATATTCCTTTTATTCCAAGCAAGTAGGTCAGGAAAATGGACTATCTGTCCATTCGTATACAAAACTTTTTTTTTTATTCCCAACTTTATTCATTAACAATACAATCAACGTTACATGACAAGTGAATGCATGTCCTGTATGTTTCACAGCATCGTCAAATTCATCTTGTTTAACCGCATCGCCGAATATTCACTTTTTCCAAGTTAGCCATAGAGAAAAATAAAAAAATTTACGTTTGTTAATTGGTTTGGCGAGATTTTTGATCAACTGAGTCAAGGCAGCAGTTTTGATTCTTCTACAAAAGTCACAATATTATCATAAAAAGATGTGTTTCTTTTTTCTCTCATTTCACATGATTTTCCTATAAATATCTTTTGAGAACGGGTTTGCCCTAGTCAATAGTTTACATTCAATTATACTATCTGAACATGAAGTATGATCTCTCGGAAACGATGACTCCTCGTGAAAAGTTTTTGCTATCAAATAGATAAGGCGTTCTCATGTTGGTTGTGGTTGTGAACAGTCATCCAGACTAAGCGTTTGTACTATGAGTTGTAAAGAAGAGAAGAAGCTGCTCATGAAGATTC